GATGTCTATAAACATTCAGTTTTCGGAATGGCCACTGTATTTTCTAAATAAAATAATGGCACATGATTAATGTATGTAGAACATAGTGTTCAATAATCAATATTTAAGTGTTCATTATCAGAAAAAATGAGCAGATATACTAAGTATTAACTGGTTTAAAATGATGTATATTAAATTTAAACGCCCCAAAGATAATATTAAATACTCAAATTAATAATGTACCAACAATAATGAATAAAATTAGGGAAGAAAACATGACTGATCTAAAGCATGCGTCAGGGTATAATGGACATGTCAACAACGTTTTTGATCTAAGTTAAATTCATATAACTTTTATGTAAATTGGTGACTTAATCACTGTAGCATCTCTTGTATCACCTAGTTACACATTTTTTAGAAGTTAAAACAGTGTAAAATTTATGCTAAAAAAAAATTGTATTGATGTAAACATTTTTCAAAATGTTATATTAATTTAAAGTTGAAAATTTTGAATATAAAATCGAAAATTTTGTATTTATGAATAAAAAATCCCCATTTAAAAATCCTTGTTACAGTTTTGTTATTGTCTAAAAAAATAATTATTGGAGAAAAAAAACGCATCGAAATATTTTATCACTGGCCAACTTGTATTCAAAATGAATTATCATATAATATTTTTAGAATAATTATGCCATTTCATTATTTGCTATATCTATTATTAGATGTTTAGACGGTAAACAGAATATTTTAATACTGTATTGAAAAGCGTAATTCTAAGATCGCATACAATATTTATACTCAAATGCTAATAGTAACGTGTAATATTGAATTATTATTAAAGTTCACTATTTAAACTTTTATGCATTTAAACAGTATATCATATATCTTAGTTTTATGCATCAATCAAATAACTATTCAATGAAAAACGAAATTGTCCTAACATGCAAATTTATATTTAATTTAATCACGTATCGATATTATCGATAAAACTATCATCATCCATGATTAAATATATATATATATATANTTTAATCACGTATCGATATTATCGATAAAACTATCATCATCCATTATTAAATATATATATATACTTACATCTCAGGCCAACTATGTCTACTAAAATGTATGTTTTAACCATTGTATGTATATAAAGTGTTAAGTAAATAAGGAAACTGACCTACACTCTTACTACTGAACTGTCTGTATATTATAACATTTCAACTATAAAAGTTATACCCAAAATATTTTGTAATATTGGTATAAAATATACAATATGAAAAACATGAAACCAAAAAAATAAAGGTGACAGTGAAACAATTTATAATAACTTTTCACTAAAAGAAGTTGACAACTTGTGGTGAGAAATCGAAGATAGGGCGGTGTTCAAAGTAGACGGACGACGGATCACTTTTGGTGTAACGAAGATGACTAACTAACGCTTTGTTGCAGCAGGTATTCGACGCTAGGCATTTATTGGACTTTATACCACTACGATAACGCGTGTGTGTCACGGTCCGGTTTATAGTGGAGTGGTGGTTTAGAAGGAGCTGACACGACCGCGGGATGTCAAACGGGAGACAACGCCGTGACCGTATCAGTGAGAATAGGAGTAGAATGTCAGGAATCAAGAAAATCTGATAGCGGGATGAGTACCTTCAAAAAATCATAGAAAGTAAGAAAAAGCAATTCAAAGTATAGCAGAAGAGCAAAAGGAGAGAAGATTGGATGGAGTTTAAACGCTTGTACGAAGAAGCCAAGTGTGCAGAATGTAAGGCAAAGTTTAAGAGGTTTGATGAGTTGTATGATAGGCTAGGAACAAAGGAAGGTGAGAAAGAAGTTTATAGACTCGCAAAAATAATAAAAAAAGGTCTAACGATTATCGCTATGTAAGGTGTATAAAAAGTGTTGATAATAGGGTACTATTGAGTGATGATCATGTGAAAAAAAGGTAGAAAGAGTATTTTGAAAAAAAGAGACGTTAGAGGATATCTCGTGGAACGAGGGACTGGTAGATTTAATTAGTTAGAAATAGGTTGGGTTAAGGGAGGCTGTGCCATCAATGAAAAAGAATAAAACAGTAGGACCGGATGAAGTGCCAGTAGAAGTATGGAAAATATTAGGCGATGTTGGCATAAGATGGTTGAAGGATCTTTTAAATAAATTGTTATTAGAAGATAAAATACCAAATGAATGGAGAAATAGTATTGTGGTGCCGATATTCAAAGGTAAGGTAACCATACAGGAGTGTGGAAATTATAGAGGTATAAAGCTTATGAGTCATAGTATGAAAATTTGGGAAACGTTAATAGATAAGAGAATAAGAAATGATACATCGGTATCTAAAATCCAGTTTGGATTTATCCGTGGTAAGCCATGAATGGAGCCATTATTTTGTGTAAAGGAACTAATAGAAAAGTTTAGGGAAAAGAAGTAATAGCAGTGTATAGTATTTATAGATTTAGAGAAAGCGTATGATAGAGTACCGAGAGAGGTTTTAATGTGGGCATTAATGAGAAAAGTATTCCCGAAAAGGTACATTAATATAATAGAGGATATGTATGATGGCACTTGTGCTAGGGTAAAAAATGTAGGAGGAGTAACGGAAGGTTTTAGGGTAAGTGTAGGAGTGCACCAAAGTTCTGCTTTAAGGCCTTACTTATTTTCTATAGAAATTACTAGAAAAATTCAAGGAGAGTTGCCGTGGTGTTTGTTGTTTGCTGAAGTTATAGTGTTAATAGGAAAAAATAGGGAGGAAATTAATAAAAGGTCAGCTCTTGAAGAAGAGGATTTAAAAATAAGTAGGGATAAGACAAAGTATATAGAGTACGAATTTGACAAAGGGGAACATGAGTTGTTCTGGAAAATGAGGTGAAATGAGGAGTTTAGTGACAATACGCGAGGACGTGATAGGAGAGGTGGAAAGTTTTAAGTATTTAAGATCAGTTATGCAAAAGAGCGGTGGTATTGAAAAGGATGTATGACACAGGATTAAAGTCGAGTGGTTGAAGTAGAGAGAAGCGTCTGGTCTGTTATGCTATAAGACAATTCCAATGATGCTGAAATGTAGGTTCCATAAGACCGGCTATGATGTATGGTTCAGAGTGTTGGGCTGTTGACGAGAGAAATAGAGCAGAGAATGAGTGAAGCAGAGATGAGAATGCCTAGATGAATGAGTGGAGTGACTAGAGAAGATAGGATAAGGAATGATCATATAAGAGGAAGTATAGGTGTAATGTCAATAGTAGATAAGATGAGAGAAAATAGACTTAGATGGTTTGGTCATGTTATGAGGAGAGAAGAATCAAAATCTGTTAGAACAGTTATAGAAATGAATGTTGAAGGAAGAAGAAATAGAAAAAGACCAAAAAAGTGATGGAAGGATGTCATTGAATGCGATATGAGAACGGCTGATGTGTGCGTAGATGATATGAGAGGTCGTGTCAAGTGGTAGTTTAGAATAAGGGTGGCCGATCTTAAGTAGTTGAGATAAAGGCGAAGAAAAACAAGAAGATTAATTAATTAATCGAGTAAATTAAATAATTATTGATTTTTCATTAATTTGTAAAATATTTAGGTTATATACAAGACTTTTCATCGCTCTTTGGTCACAATTGTGTAGTAATAAATATTAGCATATATGAAGGGGTATATATATGGGTATATTCACCAAGTTAGGATATCTGGGGATTTGGTCAGAGGTTCTATCGAGGTTNTTGTGAACAATGAGGTTCTATCGAGGTGTAGAGTCCGAGGGTATAGGATTATCGGACTCTACAACTCTTCTTAGTAGCCGGGTTCTCGGCCTCCTATCTGACACCTAGTGGAAGCGTTAAATTAACTAGTATGTGCTTTAGTGGGAATACTGAGGTATTCTTGAAGTGGCGGAGGCCTTCTCTCTGACACCCAATCGAAGTATATGGCTAAGCACTTACTAGTTATTAATAAGTAAATCAAACGATTTTTAAATCAATCTATTGCTTCAATGCTTTTTACNAATGATTTTTAAATCAATCTATTGCTTCAACGCTTTTTACTCAGATAATTAATTCTAAATAATTGGATTAATATGAATTTACATACTTTGTGTTTTGATTTCAAAATGTTTAATGACGATCAAAAATGACCAACGTCCGTTTTAGTGATAGCTGTATAAATTTCAGAATTTTCGAAAAGATAAATAAATAAGTTTTATACGTAAAAATGTGAATAAGCATTTCAATAATGTGTACCAACGACAACAAAGGGTCGCGGAATGTTTGAGAAAATAAACCGCGAAAAAGGCGTACGCTTAAATGAATTTAATTGAGTTTAGCAAGATAATAAAATAATCAAATAAAAGTTAACAATTTCTATATACTGTCTCGAATGAATAAAAATGTAAGACCTGACTACCCAGACAATCACTCGTAAGGTTAAAGTCTCGTCTTTACTGTTTCTTTATGTAAAATGAGNTCGTCTTTACTGTTTCTTTTAGTAAAATGAGTAAAATCACTAAATTAATATATGGAAAATTATTTTTTTGTGGACTGTATTTTTCTTTTGTTTTTTTATTGCTAATGTTCTTAATAAATAAAATTTTAAAAATGATAACTATATCTATAATGTTTAAATAATAACAGCTAATTATATTAAATTATTAATTTAAATATAAAAAATATCCTGATCTTGGCCTAGTTGATATTTGACCGAGTGATGAACGGGCATTGTAAGGATGTATTGTTCGGTAAACTTATAGGCTGTCACAATACTAACCCTTAGTTTCGGGTTGGGATAACCATAAACAATTATTTCAACCATTCTGTTTTTCTGTGTACAAGTTAAAAGTTCATTTTTGAAGTCGATTAACGTTCATAAGAATACCTGGTTTTCANGAAGTCGATTAACGTTCATAAGAATACCTGGTTTTCATCAGGTATTTAAACTCTTTAAAAGAGACAGGGGTAATATATATACAGATATCGGTTAGCATTCTATATAAAAATAAATGAAATAATAAAAATGAAAAAATCTGTTGAAAGCTATATTGTCATATTGAAATTTATTAAATAATAATAAATTAAACAGTAAATAATTAAATAGCGGTCATTTATAAATCTTTACACATATATAATGTACTACATTTCATTTTAAATGTTTTATGAGATCTGAAAAAAAAAATGTTTAGTTAATTATTATCATAAATATTTCTCATAGGATTGTAAAAATAAAAAATCAAAATGTTTTTATAAAAGTAAAGCAATTTTTATTATTAATGAAGTAATATGAATTAATTCGTAATATTTATAGGTTAAAGTTCAGGTTTGAGACCTATAAAAAATTATTTCAAATACCAGGTTCAGTTCAGGTTCTTTTCATACTTACAATACAAACTGAAACTTATATTATAAATTTCAGTTCTCAAAAATTAAGATCTCAGTTCTAATTTACAAAAATTAATTTAATCATATACGGTAGAGATGTTCAGGAATTTGTCTGAGGTATATAATATATGTAAATACATAATTTTATTTAGTTTTGTCATAGGAGGTTGTATCTCTCATATATCTCAAGTTAGGACATTCATATCCTAGGTGTTTTTATGTTAGGAATTCTTAAGCTTAAAATGGAAAATAGGGCTCATCCCTTCGAAAATGCAGAGAAACTATATTACTACCATCAAATGGGCTAAATATGAATTGCCATTTTAGTTGTATGAATCTACAGCACTAGTAAAATGTTCACAAATATTTTTAAAATAAATAAAATATATTTATTAACAAGTGATGAAATTTGTTATATATTACACATATATTTATTTGTCCTAAATTAATCACCGCTTCAAGTTTTGACAGTTCTTAAAAATAGTCTTCAGAGAGAGTTAAAACTGAATTGTAGCCCTCATAATGCTGCAATACGCATTCTTCTCTTAAGAGGAATAACATTATCGAAAAAACGAAAATAATTACAAAATTAAATAAATTTTTTTTCGAGGAAAGGATAATAAATAGTATGAATTATTAAAAAATTCTTATATTTAAAGATTTCTATCAGGTTCCCATACTTATTTTTCCGGAAGTAAAGTTTCCTATTTCCATTCGAGTTCTGAATATTAATTCTTTCAGACTTTTCATTTTTAGTTAAAATGACTTAAAATAAATTTTATGTTTATAGATGATCCTAGAAAAGGCTAAAAAATAATTTGAGAAAAATTTAATTTGTTTAATCTTTGGAACATTTTGTATTATTATTTTGTTGCTTATGTCGTTTATAATTTGTAGATGTTGGAAGCACTGTTCTCACTTCAAAACTTCAAAACTATAAACGCAATTAAAAAAAAAAATGACGAGTATAAAATAGTGTAATCGTAAATAGTATATTTTTACTTATGTTCCATTCCCTGTCTATAATATAACAAATAATTTACATCTGAAACTGTATACAGGTGATGAAAATCTGGTAAGACACTCATTTTCTTAGAAACTTTAGAAAATATTATTATTTAAAGTGACAAAATATTCGGTTTCAAAAAACTATAATAATACGTATTTAATAATTTTATTTTCATCCTTTTAGGGAATAAAAATCCTTAAATTTAATTATCTTAAATGGGAACCTGATGATAGGGGTTAGAATATGCCATAAATTATCCTTCCTATTGTATGAGGTGACTAAAATGGACTTGTAGGAGGAATGCGGCTTTTACAATATTGAGTATACTGGTGCAGTAATCCTTTTTAAAAGTTGAAGAACTACACATTAAATTATAACTAGCAGATATGGTATACATATAATTGGAGGTTACACTACGATGCTGAAGGCCATATGGAAACCATCGCATCAAAATTCCCTAGTAACAGCAATGCACATGATATCCTCGAATTCTACTATGATGTGTTATAATCAATAATCTAAAAATAGAAATAAAAAGGATAAACATCGATATTCTGAAAGTTTCAGAAGTACGATGGCCTGAAGTTGGGGATATATTTAGCGGAGAATATTGATTTATATACTCAGTATTATTCATAATTTAAAAAATTACCATCATATTTAACACAGCCATTTTGTTTTGTCAATCTCTTTAGAATTATGTCTACTATATTTTTATTTAATTTGCTCATTGTAAATGCTTGATGTACTTTATCGACAGGAATATATCCATCAATATTTTTAAAACTTTCCAAAATATCAGTTAAATAATTAATTTTAAATATAATGGTACTGTTAAATAAATCCATTAAATTTTCTATATTCAATTTTATATTTTCTAAACGAGAATAAATTAAATATGTATTAGTATAATTATATACTTAAAAAATTAATATGATATTGTCAATGATCGATGAAATTTACAATTATTATTTTATATTAAAATATGTTACTAATTTCTATTAAGTAAACGTATGTCTGATTAATTTTGGTGTAAACATTTGTTATTGAGCTTTTTTTTTTTTAATCTAGTACTTTTTTTTTTATAAAACATAATTTTTTTTTTTAATATGTATTTTTCTATTTATCTTTTTGATAATAATTAATTATACTCTAAAATTTAAATTAGGCTGAATTTCTGCAATCGCTAAAATATGTTCAATTATAAAAAAAAATTCTATTAACTTAGTGATTAAATTGTCAAAATATCTTACTACCATTGAACTTTATAAAATCAATAAAAATTTTGATGAAGACTAAACATATATACATATATTATTTTAGATTTTTTATTCTCGTAACAATAATATTTCAGATAGTGTTGAAACATTACAGATAGATTCAATAATACCAGATTCTTATATGACAAAATTATTTTGTAACAACTATTTATTTTATTTAGTCGACAAATAATAACGTTATAATTAAATTTCTTATCAATATGCCTTATAAACGGGTAAGTTATTCTGATAACAATAGAATTGCAACTATCAATTTAGTAATGTGTTTATTTAAGTACAAAAATATTGATTATCTGGATGCTAATTTTGGAAACAACAATAANATGCTTATTTTGGAAACAACAATGAGATATTATTACAATAATTCAATGTTAACAATAAATGGTCTATGTATTGCCTTATAGTTGATATCTTAATTCATTAACTAATCAATTATAAACAAAAATTCTATTATATTTATCAATTTCTTTTTGTCGGGACCAGGGGCATTAAATAATTTAGTGCGTATCCGAACCGAATAATTGCACTAATGCCAATCAGGCTGCGTAGTGTGATGTATGTAAATAAAATCACTGGTGGTGGGAGGGTTGGCCTGCACAACAACCAGTGATCTATGTGATGAATAATGTGTAAGTGTGTACCCTTAAACTAAATAAATAATTCAAACCTTTTTACAATAATTTCAATAAATAAAATGACTAGATAATATTTAACTCTTCTGGTCCAACAGTAATAAAAATTATAAACTCTAAAAAAGTATTTAACAAATAACAACAAATTCTGGAGTTTCATCACTGGATGGTTTCTCCAATCATGTATATATGACAATAGTAAATTATTATTTTTTAAATCAAACCATATGCTTATTGTACTAATTTAGGTACAGATTGTATATTTTCTATATATATATATAAAAAAAAAAACAACAAATTGACTACAAAATAAACTCTAGAACTTCAATAAATGAATCATAAATAAATTTCAATGGTATTCACAATTCGTAGAGCTGCTGGCCAGAGATGCTACCTAAAACTAAAACATGGACCACAATAATAACAAATTAATTTAGATAAAGACAATTTTTGGTAACACAAATTTGAATATCACAGAAAAAACAAAACAAGTTATTGAGCTAATTAGTAGCTTTACAAAAATTGTTCTCCGCAATTAGTGCAAAAGAAAAAACAATGACAAAAAAACTACTTGAGCTTTTTAAATCTTAAATTTGCCGTAACGATTTTACCACAACTAAAAATAACGTCTATATCAAATTTGTATGTGTATTTTTACGAACAAAAATAACTGTTTTAACAACAAAAATCTTTTGCAGATTATATCGCAATACAATTTTGTACTATACTATATAAAATTTGGTTATGTGCGTATGTAGTGTAGTGTGTAACAGCTGATCAGCTATAATTAAAACTATTTTATTTTTTTTACTCACCTTATTTCCAACTAATTGGGGTAGGCAACTCTTATCCTAAACTTCCACTTGACACGATCTCCCACATGTTCTACGCTCACATCAGCCGTTCTCATATCGCATTCAATGACATCCTTCCATCACTTTTTTGGTCTTTTTCTATTTCTTCTTCCTTCAACATTTATTTCTATAACTGTTCTAACAGATTTTGATTCTTCTCTCCTCATAACATGACCAAACCATCTAAGTCTATTTTCTCTCATCTTATCTACTATTGACGCTACACCTGTAATTCCTTTTATATGTTCGTTCCTAATCTTATCTTTTCTAATCATTCCATTCATCCAATAATTCTCTTGATTCATTACCAATACAATAATTAACTAAAATTCTATTATAATTACCATTGTCTGTGTTTTTTGTATCTGAAATACCCACATTGGTACCTTCGTTAAACATAACGCGTTTTAATTCACGAAGTTTCTTAATAGTAACCATACAATCTTGATTTGTATCTTCTTTTAATAACAATGTATTCATCTGCATGCTAATTATTTCTGAGACACTTAAATTATTGTTGAACTAAAAAACATAATAATTTGTTAATTTTATTTAATTTGTTTACAAAAATGGAGTCAAATGTTGTGCTTCTTATTATTTATTTATAAAAGTAGTTCATTAATAATAATTATGATATGTGGTCTGAAGAATAATTCCTCAGACCCACAGCGTGTTATGGTCGAATCGAGCATATGAGATTGTATGACGCATACTGCTTCGAAATCAAATCCCATTGACAAGTGAAATTTTTTGCATTTTTTTCACTGTTTTCTCTTTGAATTATTAATTCATGTAAATTTGTTCATTTTTTTNTCACTGTTTTCTCTTTGAATTATTAATTCATGTAAATTTGTTTATTTTTTTTTTTTACATTTTATTTATCTATATACTTTTATGTGCATTCAAAACACATTTGTTGGTACAAATTATAATTCAGTGGTAAAAATGTGATTAAAATAAAATAATATTTTATACATATAAATATAACTTATTTTAATATTAACCGGGTAAGAGTATATTTATAAAGAGATGATATTGAGGAATTAAATACATTACATTTCATATTAGGAAGGTTGATATTTATCATTAAATCAGCAAAATCATAATTACTTTTTACTTTTTATACAACGTATAAATACTATTTATTCACATATACATTTAAACTTTCATAGATCTGATGGTCAGAGTTTTTTCGAACAAATTTCTCTGGGAGCACTTGAAATGCACAAAAAAAATTGTTTTTATAAAAAAAAACTATTAAAATAACTCATAAAAATAATAATTAAATACATTACATTTCACATTCAGAAGGATAATATTTATCATAAAAATAGAAAAATAGAAAAACATAAATACTTTTTACATTTTAAACAACGTATAAAAGCTATTATTTCATATGTACATTTAAACTTACATACGTCTGATGGGAAACAAATTTGATTCATTTATCGATCTCTCACTAATTTGACGGAATACTAAGCGTATATTAGCATGTTTTTAAAAATATCCACAGAAGGTTGATGGTGAATTAACAAATGTATTTTTACTGCATCTTCTCTGTACGAAAGTTGTTAATCAATTTGTAAAACGTCAACAGAATTTTGTATTTTTTTTATAACATTTTTTACTATCGCGAAAAAAATAAACATCGCATGGCTGACAATATGGAGTACAATGAGGTGGGATTATTTCTACAGTTGCATTACATTCACCATTTGAATTAGTAAAATTATTTTTGAAATGTCCAGTATCTGTTTGTCCTCCCCATGAATCAATGATTAATAAAATCTCGTTTGATTCACAATATAGTGCTAAAATATTTTTACCAGTTCATTAAAATGAGATTTTGTTCATTTTCCTCGACTTGGGCATTGTTACATAAATGTTACCGTATGAAGTTGTTAAAGAATTTATAGTTTCGTTTATACGTGGACCAAATTCTCCCTTAATTTCTTGCATACAGAAAAATACTTTGAGGAGAATTGTACCCGCAGCAGTAATTGCATATTGTGCAGTATAGTTGTTTGTTACTCTATAAAAATCGTCTAAAAATACCTCGGTAACTTTTTCGCCTTTATGTGACAATGTCCTATATATATCGCTACGATATTTACAACAGGTGGTTTGATATTAAGATATTCTTTTTTTGAAAACATTTGCGTCGTTAAAAATTATGGAAATATCTAAAGCTTTTTTCGATTTAATATAACGTGTTACCTTTCTTTGACAGATATTATTATTACGTTTGAATTTTTTCACCCACAATAGAAAGGCCGTAAAACGAAAACCATTTATATTTTGAAATTGCACTGCGGCTTTTGACGCCCCCCATTGCTGAATCATCCTTGTTGTAGCCGGTTGTTTGTTCATTTTAGCTTCATAAAAGCCATCATAAGTCCACTTATTAATTTTTTCATGGTACTCCTTTACAACGCAGTTCAAAATTTCATTTTCTCAACGACTTAAATAATCCTTTTTTTTTCATCAAATTACATCCATTACACGTTGTAATGTTTTTAAGCCCAATTAGGGTGTTTTTTTAGCAATTTGAACAATTTTAATTTTGGTTTCAATCATTATAAATGACTTTTTTTTTAATGGAGATTTCAATTCATCGGAATTAATTGTTAAGTTATTCGAAATTGTTGAACTAGAGCTCTTAACACAAACGATTCCTCGGGTTGTAAACAGCTTAAAAAATATTCTTTATCTTCCTTAAATCCATACACATTTAATGTCTTTATTATTGATATGGCCATAATTTCACCCATTAAACAATTATTTTTGGAAAATTTTTTGTCAACTGTTGAAGATTAACAATTTGAATCTGTCAATATTTGGCGACAAATTTCGAAAGCATTAGCAGCATTGAGTTTTTTATGTGAACATAAAAACACCTCGTTTATACATTCCTCACTAATAATGGCACTTGTGGATGGTTTTAATAGTTCACACAACATTATGCAAACATTTTAAATATAAAAAAAGATAAAGTAAAACTATAAATTGTTTATAAATTTGACCTGTTGTATTCTAAAGCTCGTGAAAATGATGCACTAACGATTTTTAACGTAAGTTATCCTGTATTATTAAATAAAATTATATATTAACTGTAAATATTATTAGATTTTTAAAGATAATACCAATCAAAACTTTATATTTAATGTGTTTGGGGAATTAATATCGACATTAATAAATATTTTAACTTGTTTGTTACACTTGTCTACCAAAGAACAAAAGTGTCATATTTCTATACTTTCATTGAGTTTAAAATTGATTGATATTTTAAAATCACATTGTATTTAATTAAATGACTATAGTCCAAAATCATAAAAAAAATTCTCATTTTAACGAGTTCATAAAAAATGTATCAGCACCACATTGTGAATCAAACGAATATTTATGAATCATTGATTCAAAGGTAGAATATGGGATTTAATATTATAAAAATATTAATTTAACTTATTGTAATTTTTAACAAATTTATGTTTGTTATATAACAAAAAGTAAATTGAATAAATAATANTTTCAACTTAAATTTTGAAAGTGTTCCGGAAAGTCTGACACTTTTCTATATATATTAAATTAAAGCTAATGTAATCTACTTTATTATGTAAAAAAAAAATTTCGGACTTTATTTTGTCTTCACGGTGAAAATGGCTACCAAATGCTATTATTGTGTGAAAATTCTCAATTTTATTTTTTACATTTTTAACTTTATAATGCTAAAACTTATTGAAAAGTTTATGGATCCACACAATTTTTTTGTGAAAAATAATATTTTTTAATAAACCCTTTTTCATTTGACATACTTTATTTTAATCAGGATATTAATAAGAAAATAGCATATCATGTATCTTTTGAAATAATTCATCAATTTTTTAAAATTAAACACTATCTAAAGATTTGCATTGAAGCGTATTTTTTGATAGTGATTTCAATCACTGTCAGGTATCATTATACTTGATCCAACTATGACACGTCACCACTGTGCCGCGACCCCCCTGTGCTTGGTTTTTTTCTATCTAGTTAGTTTAATAATTTGATTTAAAAAAATTACAAAATAAAAAATAGTTGAAATCGTAATTGATAAATTACCTGCATTTCATTGTTTTCATTGCATTCATTGCATTCATTAAGAATATTTTCATTATTATTTTGTATTTCATTATGTTCATTTGAAAGGTCTTCATGATTACTTGGTTTTACAACCTGATCTTTTTGAAAATCTTCAATTTTCAATGGTTTATCTTTACAATTAATGGGAGCACAAAAAGCCGATAAAATGTAACATGCAAACAATAATATCTTAATTTGATAAATCATCTCTTAATATCTTCGGTTTCAAACAAAATTACTTAAAATATTTAAATAGTTATAAATATAATAATTATAGCATGAAAATGTGTTATATAAAAAATGTATAAAATTTACAGACTATTTTAATCCTTATTTACTTAAATTAAATACGTTAAAGTAAAAAACAAGTTTTTAAATCAATTTTATATTTAAATTTTAATATTATAGCAATATGTGATTAAAAATATTTTTAACTGTTATATTTTATTATTGTAAGATAGTTTTAAGCGAATTAAATTTTTAAAATAGATTTAAATAAATTGAAACTAGTGCGGTTGAAACGTTTTTATTTACGTATTAAAGTTTATATCACTTAAGTAAAATTATTAATAATATGAGAGCATAACATAATTTTTCTCATAGAATCAACTTATTTCGGTTTATTAAAAAAAAACCCCAGCACAGGGGGGTCGCGACACAGTGGTGACGTGTCATAGTTGGATCAAGTATAATGATACCTGACAGTGATTGAAATCACTATCAAAAAATACGCTTCAATGCAAATCTTTAGATAGTGTTTAATTTTAAAAAATTGATGAATTATTTCAAAAGATACATGATATGCTAATTCCTTATAATATCCTGATTAAGATAAAGTATGTCGAATGAAAAAGGGATTATTAAAAAATATTATTTATCATAAAAAAATTGTGTTGATCCTTACATTTTTAATAAGTTATAGCATTATAAATTTAAAAATGAAAAAAAATAAATTCAAGAATTTTCACACAAAAATAGCATTTGGTAGCATTTTTATCGTGAAAACAAAATAAAGTCTGAAATTTTTTTTTTCATAATAAATTACATTACGTTATCTTTAATTTAATATATATATAAAAGTGTCAGACCTTCCGGAACACTTTCAAAAGTTAAGTGTAAAAGTAAATTTTTTGTGAAAAAGTCATTTTAAATACCCCCTGTGGGCAGAGATTTATAAAAAAAATATACCAAATGATAGGTAATGACATCAAGCATCTATATAAAAAAAAAATTATATTGATATATTCATATTTGAAAAAGTTATGGCATTATTAAGTTAAAAATATAAAAAAGAATTATTTTACAAAAATCGTCTATTTTCACCACTAAGACAAGTCCAGAAAAATTAGCGATTTTTAAATTTGTAATTTTTTTGGAGGTCTCCCCCGTTTACGGGGAACGAAGGAAATTTTTTCAATTTTTGAGGGTAATGTCTTCTACTAGATACGATTTGTGATCTTTTGACGTATTGTTGAAAAAAATCGGTTCGTTGAGAGCTGAGAAAAAGTGTTAACAGACACAAAAAAGAATAAACACATCTAGTAAAACCAATACCTTCCAGCTTTGCATCGAAGCTAAAAATATCAATGAATATTTGTTACCTATCCAATCAGTCTTATTTTAGAAACTAGTTAAATTAAGTAATGAGATATGAATAACACTTTGGATCACGATTAATAACGTTTGTTTCGAGCACCGTTGCAAATGATTAATGGGATAAAAGGAAAAGTCAGCTATCTTGATCACGGTTGATAAGAGTATATCAATTCAGTTATAACCACCGTTCAAAGACAAAGACAGAAGGTTAGGAAAGAAATAAAAGAAAAAACTTACCCAAGGTCGCAGCAAACAATCAATGTTAGTCTAGAAGGCAATAATTATTGCGAACACTAGACTAAAGAAAATAAAAATAACACTTATTTTTAGCTTAATGTAGATCATTCAGATCATTCGCCATAAATATCACATCACTTATCTGTCCGTCTGTCACAGGCTAGATTTCACCATTCAGGATTTCCAGCATATCCAAGTTGGATTGGGCTGGGTTGAAAGGCCGTGCGGTTTTTTGCTATTCGACTTCCAGCTGGAGACTTGAACGATTGTCTGTTCTCGACCTCTCCATACATGTCCTGCCTAGCTTATCCTTTTACTTTTCAGGAATATAAATATAAATAAAACACAACTTTAAATTTTTATTTAATAGTATATATTATTGTGAACTAATCTTATTGGGTAGCTAGTCTTAGAGCTTAATATATTTATACATCGTACCGTTGGACAGCACAAAGAAACTTATGAATATATTTTCATTGTCTAATTTTTGGCTTTGTGATTATTGTGCCGCATCCTTTGAAGACGTTAGCGCCGGGACACAATGGGCCACCACAATACCGCCTTGATAAAATTTTTTCATAGATTATTTTGAATCTTGTTTTGGCCAGGCCAGGGGGTCTATTTTTGAGCTTGGACTAATCATTGGCGAATGTTTTAGTACACTAAAACATTAGATTATGATTTTAGTGCACTAATGGAAATTCGTATTTTTGAATTTTATTTTTTATCAGTCTAAAAATCTTGCACTAATCGTACATCGTCTAATCTAATGTCATTTCAAACCAATAATTATTAGTGCGACATGTTAAATTATATTGGCTGTACTGTATTTTATATTAATTTTATAGTTAATACTTGATAATATTTATGATAACTACAAAATTTACCCATAAGAAATTTGTCACGAGTTTTTTGTCAGTATTTTTTATTTCAATTTGTGTAATGTTTTACAATGGAGGGGAAACAAAGTCAATAAGTGTGACTTATGAACAAAAACAATAATTAATTGAATTTGTTCATAAGCATCTAAAATTAAATTCTAAAAAATTTGGACCATCTTTTACCATGAAAGATGCCCAATTATTATGGCAAAATATTACCAAGATTTTAAATGAAACTGTTGGCCCAAAGAAGACACTAGCGAAAAATCGTAAAGCTGTTAGTACCTATCGTGACAAAAATTGTATTAAATTTTACTTATTGTTTAGTCAATATTGTACAATATTTTGCATACTTTGCGCTCTATACTTAGAGCAGACTTAATCGATGGGGGTTCTAAATATGGGCGTAGCTCATTAATTAAATTTAATGCAAGAACTTTTATCAGTCTAAATTTTTGTATAAATGCCCTTTCGGACAAAACTACAGAAAATAAAATTTTATTAATGTAAATAGATAATTTTACATATTGTAATTTGTTTTGTAACATACCAATGAACGGATCCTCCGCTAAACGAAATTTCATTGTTAATGGCCATTATCTTCAACTATTTCTAAATTACTAATAACTTGCACATAATTTATATTAAGAAAGTGTTCCATTTTAATATTTAATATTAAATAAATTTGAAAACGTTATAAATATAAAAATTTCATATAAATATGAATAACAGTAACATTAGTATACTAAAATCATAATTAGTGTGGTAGATACCACTCTAAAAAGATCATCTAAAACTTTAGTACACTAATAAATATTTTTTAGCATACCAACATTCAAAAATACGGTTTTTTAGTTTCACACTAATAGTTGCACTAAAACGTCATGTTTTAGTATACTAAACAGATTAGTACACCAATATAAAATTCAAAAATAGACCCCCTGAGGAAGATTTAAGAAATATTGATGTCGATCTTTCAATAAAATATACTCTCTCTCTCTCTCTCTCTCTCTCTCTCAAAAAACTACATCTTCAATAAAGATAAAAATAATTAAATAAGGACATATTATAAAATTATATTTCTGATAAAATATAGAGTGTTTAGAATCTTTTACAAATAAAATCAGTCATAGGTTTTATGTAATTAAATTGTGTTATTTAAATATTATATCGTTTTCGTAAGTAATTATATTGATTATATGACGTGTGGTGTGAACTGTAACGTAATGCATTTAATACCAGAATCAAACGTTTTTAATGATATAATTGCAAAAATCGTCATTAATAATCCATTTTACTGGATCAATCTCCAAAATTAACGTATTAAAAATTATATTAGTTGAAATGGGAGACCCCCAACTATCTTCTGATTCTACAACTTCAACTTAAAGAGGAAAAGTATTTTTTATTTTATTATCACTAACCTAAGTTTACGAACAACAACAATATTTGTAGTTTTATCGTCATTAATTCTTGTACAAAAAGTTGAAAAAACTGTTTTGTCAAAATAATTAGTTTACTTTGATGTTTGATTTAAAACATTTTGTAATCTGTCACTTTTTAATTTGGTAATTTTCTATATGGGTCACTACTTAACCGTTTTCTATTTGCACTCATATTAACAAAATAAGAAGGATATTTAATAAAAAAACAAATGTAATTAATAGCGCTCTCTAAAGAAGCTACGCGTATACTATTCAAATTATGACAATAACATCTTCTAGGATAACTCAATTAATGCTAGTAGAGAACCATTATCTGAATCTATAGTTTTAAGAAATTATAAATAATCTTAAAATCTATATGTTTGAATATTATCAATAATTATTTATAATATAATAAATAATAATATGCATTATCAAGAGTAAATTTTCTAAACTATCGGATTTTTTTATATATTATCATTAAAAATCATTTTTNAAATTTTCTAAACTATCGGATTTTTTTATATATTATCATTAAAAATCATTTTTCTCATAGTATCTTCAGTTTCTAGTAATTCAAATTAGAAGTTAATAAATATATAAAGAGTTAATATAATGCAACATATCTTTTTGAAAATGCATTGGTATATTTTTTATAAGACTACTACTAATCATGAACTACCTTTCTCCATTCAATTCTTAATTTTCATACCTCAAAAGTATCGTAACTTAAAAATTAATTTAAATAAATTTAAAAAAAGAAAAAGAGTTGAAGTTACTTTTGATTTGGAGTGTGATTTCAGGGTTATGAAATAACATAAAATTTCAAAATCTTACCTGATAATTTTTTCTTAGTTGTTATAATAACTTCAGTGATAATATTAATAATTGAAAATAAAATAACACATATTTAAGTTTTTAGTTCATAAATTAATACGTAAGAACTTCGACAATGACGATCACGACGTTCGCATAACTTATAGTACAGAGCACGATAAGAACAGAGGAGAATAAGGATTTGCTCTGCCTTTTTATAATTCTTTTTACCCCCGAAAATAATCATTTTCTAATTCTTACAGTATAAATGTTTATTGATAAATAAGCATAAAATACAGAAATTGTTACAGATGA